TATTAAAGAGATGTAGCTGCCCTGTTACACTGGCATGCACCACCCTTTAGCCCTTGCTTTGGACTGGAGTGGGCATTAATTTTCCCAAAAGGTGGGACTGTTTGGAGGGCCACACTGATAAGCTAATATAAGTTAATTAGGTCTTTTTTTAAGCTTATTGGTGCAGCCACACTCACAGCAGTTCCAATTTCTCATGTGGCCCTTTGGGATAATTAATTGCCCACCCCTAGAGTCTGGACAAACATGAGCATTATCTGGATCTGAAGTCAAGCTAGGCTAATCACCCTTCAGTTGCACAATCACCTAATGGAGAAGCTTTTTGTAGTTCTTTAAAAGAAATGTATTTCAGTGATCTTGCTCGTTCTTCCTGCTCATAAGATGCTTTGTTAATTACCAGTAGGAACCCCATGTTGTCACTCGTCTCCAGGACATTTGTTTGCATGAACTATTTATGAGATCACTCACATTCTCAGCTAGGATCTGCTTTGTGCAGTTGCCACCACACTTACCCACAATGCTCAGGCACCTGGGCATCCTCCCGGTGTCATGTTTTTTTTATTTAGTGTCCTCATTTGCACATTAGCTGAGTGACATGTTCAGTTCTTCTCACCTTCTGAAGAGTCATACATATCAGCTTGTTTGCACCGCTGCTACAAACAGCATATACAATAAGTTTCAAAAGAGCTCTTTGTTACTGCTTGGATGTGGAGCGCAGTCACCGTAAACGAAGCTATAGACTCGCATTTCTTGCTTTTTATTGCATTCTCCTCTCGCTCTCGCACTCCGGGCTTCCCTCCCTGTTTAGTAAATTTCATTCTCAGTGTGTATGCTATCCTGAGCAGCGGGCCTGAAGCAGCTTGAAAACACTGTGCACGAGAACGGTGCTCAGGTTTCACAGCACAGAGTTGCTGAAAGAGAAATAAGAAGGTCTGAGGCAAACACGCGGCAGTTCTGAGTTCACTGGGTATTTGAGATTCCGGGCCAACGTTGTGTTGTTTCACTTTCTCCGCTCTTCAAGCAAAACAATTTAACCCTCGTTTTGCTGTTGGCTTTGTGTTCCGATATGCAGCAGTTAGCTAATCCCACATTTGGCATTTTTACGATGAGGACTGAGTGTATACAGAGAGGCTGAGACTATCCAAATCCCTAAAGCCTCTTCTGTGGGGACGCCCGGACGATTCCCGCTTCTCCTGCTTGGTCCAAAGATCTGAGCAATGATTCCCTCTGGCTGGATTTTATAGGGACACTCAAAGCTTTATTACACCAAAGCCCTTTCCAGACAAGTAAAATGACATGATAACAGATGACATTCTGCACTATAGACTGGTATGGAGATTTCTCTCTCTCTGTCTCTCTACTTATGCCCTTTTACAAATGTCTTTTCAGATGTGTCCTTAGACCGGTTACTAGCTGATCTTTGCTCTGTGTAGCTTAATGCGGAGTTTTATCTTGATGACATTTAAATGTTGTTCTAGGTCGTATGGAGTGTGCTTTCTGCTTAAAATGCTTCTCATGCACAGGAAAAAAACCCAAACTACACCATAAATTTACTTGTAGGAACTCTGGACTCACACTTCAGCACTAGCAGCTCTGCGCTGCTCAGCTGGACAGGGTGCGGGTGAAGTGTCTTGCCACAGCGGAGGCGGTTAATGAGCTTTATAGCTGTTGGAAGAGCCAAGCTGGATATTTCCCCACGTTTTCAAACTTTATACTCAAGCTAAGCTGCCTCCTGTCTTCAAATGTCTATTTATGATTTTGAGATCATGTTTAGCTCCTGTCCAAAAATCAGTCTTTGCAGATTATTCCTTGGAGTTTACAGTGATGTCTAACCTTTTTCCTCCTTGTTTCCTTGTTTATAGGCATGGCTCCAGAGGTATGGCTACCTCCCTCCTGCAGACCCCAGAATGTCAGTGCTGCGTTCTGCCCGAGTCATGCAGTCTGCTATCGCTGCCATGCAGCGCCGCTACGGCCTAAATGTCACAGGCACGCTGGACAGCAACACTATAGAGTGAGTCACACACACCTTTAAAAATACCCTTAAAGACGCCATAGTATGAATTATGCACAAGGTTCACGATGGGTTTATTCCCAAAATAAGAAAACACGGGTAAGAATACAACAGGAAGCGGCTGAGTGTAAAATTACAGCTACAGAGAAACCGTGGTGTTTGCTTTGGTCATTTCTTGTATTCGCCTGAATACAAGTAATTACTATGGATATGTTGACTTGCTCATGTGGCTTTTAAAAAGAGAGAGATGTGGATCTCAGATTGATTTTTATGATTTGATGAACAGTCTCAGACTAAAAATCTAAATTCGCTGAGGGCCTCGGGCATACTGTAGGTAGATGTTTTATTAATTTGAGGAGGGAAAACACACTGCGAACTGTGTTGCTTGGTTTCTTTTTTCTAGGACTCACAGTTCAAGTGAACTAGAAATTTTTCAAAAATGGAGGTACAGGCTGTTTGTGTTTCTTTTTGCCCCGTCTTACATTTTTAAGGCAACCAGAGTCGTTTTGCCAGACGCAAAGTTGGCGTAACGTAGACTAAGTGGGGCTTATTAATGTGATCAAAGAGGGTTTTTGCAAGAGTACACCTCCGATGTCAGATCAAAGACTTCACAATGTTTTAGTATTAATAGACAGTGGAGGAGACAGAAGAGCTGCGACTCTGGTTGGCTTTGTCCTCATTTGAACAGCCCAACCTCAGCCCAGCAGCTACAAGCAATCAAGCAGGTCATGTTGGTTTGGATTTTCTTTCTTTTTAATGGAAAGTCTCATTGTTATATTATATTTTGTCTGCACACAGGAGTGTAGTGGAGTGAAAACCCACCTGGGGCTCTCATAAGTCTTTAAAGAGATGTTTTTAAATTATTCATCTGCATGAGAGCGGCAGTGGCACGAGGGCACAGATCATCTGTGTTTTTAAAGCAGCCCTGGATTTACCCAGGTTTAACCTCGCCGCATTATACCTGCAAATCACTAAAACAGTGCTCGCTGACATTTGTGCGCACCAACAGCGAAATACCATCCATGCTACACGCAGCAAAAGCGCTCACATTGGTCACTGAACTGTGATGTGGAGATGTTGGTGGCCAGCTATGTGAATGCAGACTAACAGCTATCCAACCGCTGGGCTGAAACAGAGTGAAATGTGATGAGCTAACAGTGCCTGTTTCTTTTCCCCCCTTCTGCTTCTCTCGATTAATGTAGGGATAACACGATAAGGTGAGGCACCTTTTTTGTACATTTGAATACATGTAGTTTTACACTGTGTGGGTGTTACGATGAAGTACGTGTGTTCTGTTATCAACACGTTGTCATCTTTGCATTTCTTTTACATATAAATGTTCAAAAATTGCATCATATTGAATTATTTTGCACATCTGTTCTGTGTGACACTGGCTCAGAGTTGGCTCCTGTGAGCCAGTGACATCACTGTGTCAGGGTGGGGGAGGTAATGTGCTGCTGCCGATATAACCTTTTTCCTCCCCGCCTCTGTCCACAGGTGGATGAAGAAGCCCCGATGCGGGGTTCCTGACCAAATAGGGGGTGTGTCCAGATTAAGTGTCAGGAAACGACGGTACGCCCTCACGGGACAGAAGTGGCAACACAAACATATCACATACAGGTGGGTGGATTCAGCTTTTCTTTTGTTTTCAATGGCATTTCAGTGCTACCTAGCAGCACAGCATGCTCAGAAAACCCCAGAAACACACCCCAACCTGTGAGGAGACCCCAATCACCCGAGCAGCCGTGTGGGAGACATAGAGATAGGAAGAAAGAATACTTTTTTCTTCAGTAGCTCCTTTATTTCCGTGTGGTTTGAGCTTTTGACCTGTCCCTGCCTGTAAGCTTTATAGCAGGGCTGTCAAACATAAGGCCTGTGGGCCAGAATCATTCTAGCAAAGACTCCAATCCAGCCCATGAGATTTTCCCTCCGCTAAAGACTTCCCACATGCCCATTCATGGTACATCAATGTAATTAACTGACAGATTATTAACTGACAGATGTTTTTTCACTAACTACCAAAGAAATTTCTGTTTTTTGGGTTTTTGTTTTGTTTTTCTTTTAGAAAAGCCTACAGGAAAAAAAAAATGGGACATTTTCTTTGGATTAACCAAAACCTCTGTGTAATAATTACAGGACAGTCTGGGCAATGAGCTGCCAGATCCTTCTTACACATTCATTTCTTGCAGTTAAAGCCCAAAGAGTCGCACTGACAGATGTCTTACCCCTACTCTAGCAGCTTTTTATCATGTACAAAAACTGTTTCTTGTATTGAGACAGGCTGTATGTGGCCAACCGAGTAAAATCACTTTGACATCCCTGATTTCACTTCCCCATTTCCACTGAAAGAAGCACAATATTTGAACTTGCATAATGGATGCAAACCTACAAAAGCAAAGGTCAAGTAAAGTTCCACGTCACTCAGAGCCTTAAACATCACATTAACCCGCAGCACAGGCCGTGTCCATCAAACCCCACACCTCACTGCCGGAGCAGTCTCGCTCCTGACAGAACATGTAGCACAAATGCAAAAAGAGTGTACGCGCACTGGTGACCTCACCGATTTCATAATTCACCAGCGCGTTTTCTGACATCCCGCTACATGAGTAATAATGTATAGGACAGCTTTCTGTGGTTATATAATTTTTCTCTGCTAAGATGTAGTGAGTAGCCCAGATTCTGTAATATTTCATGTGTGTTATACTGTTGCTTGCCTCAGCTTCGTGTTTCATGGATAATCCTCAAGTGCTGTTCTTGTTTTTTCAGTTATTATTATAGATTTTTAAAAATGTTTTGCATAAGCGGTAATTCCTGCTAAATGGCTCAGTGGCCTCGAATAACCTTTTCTTTTTTTGAGATTGAGTTGAAATTGAGCACGTGGTTCATTTGCAGCACCACTGATAAGAAACCAAACCAATGAGGCGGATCGATGCAGAGTGGAGGAGGAAAAGGGTGGAAATGAGGAGAGAGGAAAGAGAAGAGAACAGGAGAAGCAGATTCAGAGAGAAAGACATGAGCTGAGAGGGGGGGGAGGAAACCCTGGTGGAAGGCAGAGGGTGCTCTCTGACAGATTAGGGTTATGTAAATGAATGGGAGCATTTTGAGTGTGTGTATTTGTGTGTGCATATATATTTATATATATATATATATATATATATGTGTGTGTGTGATGTGTACATCGATGTGGCCTCTAGTCAGCTGTCAGATGTGCCTGCAGCTGCTCCTTTTATGTCAGATTGCAATGGAGGTAGTTGGAGAATGCAATCATCTAACGACTCTTTTAATCTGCTTAAATGTTCTTTATGTAGTGTTAGAACAGGTCACCTCATTTAAATATGATTCAAGTATCAAAATCTTGTCAGTAATTTAAGATATGCTGCTATGCATTCGTGTCAGAATAAGAAGCAACATCTTTCCTCCTCAGTTTGAAGAAAAAATGTTTTCAAGTATAATCGTGGTTCACCGATGGACAGTGGTAAACATAAAATTGTGCTAACTGCAAGGAAACTTGTAAGGTTAGGTGCTGAAAGCTATGAGTCACAGTGACGGTCACGGTTATCCAAAGCACCTTATGCCCATAAATTATTAGGATGCTGACTTTTAGGAATATTGTACCTCAGTCATAAAACATGTTCTCAGAGTTCTCAAGAGTCGCAGATCTTTAAAATTCAAATCAAAGTTGAAGTAAACACAAAGATTAGCTGTGATTTAAAGACAGTAAAAGCATACATGAAAATGTGATTAGCATTAGCTAGCTAGAACACTTCTGAGTGTTTGATAAAGAGGTTTTATCTGTATATATAACGCTGGAATAAGCATTTCCCCACTTATAAAACATAAATATGTTACAACCTCGAATCTTTTTGCGAATCTTTAACATTCTTCTCTGCAGGCCTTCCAGAGCTTTGTCAAGTTGGGCAACTATTTGCACGTCCTTCCTGAAATATTTGATAGGTTCAAGCCAGAGTTGTGACTTGGCCACTTTATGTTAATGTTAACCGTTGGCCCAAAGATATTATGCAGTGCCATCTGACTGTGGTAATGCCTGGAAGTGTAAAAGCTGAATATGAAATTGGGTCATCTAACAGCTGTCAAAGGCTGCACATGTGCTGTCATTGTTAATTACCCAATGATTTGTTGAGTAAAAAGAAATGTAAAATTAGACTGACTAACAAGGAAGTTAGTAAGAACATCCGTAGTCACTAAGCCCCTTTAGCGATGTCTTGACTGTGTGTTGAGGGTCATTGAACTTTCCGCTCAGTCTAAGATCATGAGTGCTCAGGTGACATGACATAATGAATTTTAAAAGCACACACCCAACAACCTGATGCTGCCACCGCCGTGCTGCACTGCACGGATGGTACTGTGCAGAGGATGAGCGCTGGCTTAATTCATTATATATAATATCAAACTTAAAACTGCATCTAAACCATTCAATCCCAGATCAGGTGCTCTTGTTGCACACAGTCACTGGACTCCCAGGAGTCTTTTGCTAAAGGAACAGGCGCTACCTCAAAACAAACACTTTCTCCTGGTGAATAAGTTAAACTGTAGAAATCTAACTAAAAAGTGGATATCTTGCTATTGTTTCTCCCCGAAGAACCTCTGCCTTTCTGTTACAGGCTTCAAGCATTTAAAATAGTCCTGAAAAAAATAACACTGACATTTGGAAAGTATAACAAATGCATGCAAGCCCCAGGTGTGTGCTGATCTCGGTGTAGCCACATACAGTACTTTCTGTGGGGAGGCACTAATTAGCTTTGGCATCCCTACTGTTTTCCCTGCATGCAGGTACTATTACAGCACATGAGTTGCATTCGGAGTCATTATCACCTCGCAGTATGGAGTTTAATATGTGGTGTGGCCTCAGAGCAGGCAGGGATTATATCCATTTGTTATTGTGCAGCTTCGCCCTGCATGTGTTACCCTCTTTATCTGACTTGTCCTTAAAATAGGACACACATACAGAGGGTTGTGTCACAGGCTCGTATGAAAACCATCTTTTTTTTATTCCTTGAGTGGCCTCAGTTGTTGATAAGGCCTTTCAGAGAGAACAGGACAAGGGCATGTATTCACACAGAACCCTGGTGGTGCTACAGTGTTTATGTGTTACTTTTAATAACAGGTTTGTACCTTTGTGACTCTCTCTGGGTCAGCCGATATTGATTCGAAAGACGGACTGTTTTCCTGTCTTTATCACGTTTGTACTTCAGTCTGCTTTACATAAGCCCTTTAAAAGACAAAGTGGCTATTTGTGATGCCACTTTAAGTGGTCTCAATTAGGTAGGAATAGTTAGCTAATGCCACTTCTAGATGATGTTCAAGATTATCTCTGGAATTTAAGGCTTTGTCAGTTCCCAGGTTAAGATAACAGCATTTATTACCTGCACTTTAAACTGTAGAACAGTTCAAAATTTACACAGTTTTAAGCTCAACTTAATATGAGCTTCAAAGACATTATTGTATATCTTTGAAGCTGAAATGGGGGGGTAAGAAATCCAGCAGAGGCCTGAGAGATGCATCAGTGAAGCCTCATCAGGAATGGTCTCAGTGGAACGTGGCTGTCAAGAAGCCATTCTTAAAGAAGATTACACAAGAACTGCACTGAAAATCAGTCGGGTTGTGATGCTGCCTCGCTTTTCGCTTTTTAGCCAAGATATTGAGCGTAGGGGGAGAAAAGTGTATCGTGTTCCACAGTCAACTTTTTGACCAGTGTGACTGCATCGTCTGGACGCTTGTAGAGTTTTGTGGCTGTACTCGACAGTTGATGTGAAAATAACAAACAGAATGGAGGTATTATCAGTTAAAGATATATTAGAGACTTTTATTTTGAAGAGCTACTGGGAAGCTGAAAGGAGGTTGAATGTTCTTTTTTTGTTGTTTTTTTTAGGTGGACAAAAACACTGCTCTGTCCGCTGATTCTTCTCAGTCTCTGCTCAGTGCATGCACCAGCTGCTGTTTGCCTGACAGTGGAGGTCTAAATGTAGGCTAACAGGAAGGATGCTAGGATATCAAAAATAAGACATAGCTCTAAAAAAAATTTAAAAGCATCCCTGCTTCTTCGTCTTTTATCATGACGTATGTTCTATTACTTTCTTACTTTCACTCTGTGTGTGTGTGTGTGTGTGTGTGTCTGCAGGGCTCAGTTCTGAAATCATTATCAGAAAAAGAAAGTTTCACAAGACTTTTGAGAGTGCAATTAAAGCGAACACGTCTCTGGCAGAGTGGTGGTCAGCTGCCTGCGAGTCAGTCTTGAAACGGCCGACAGAGAAAGAAAAGCAGATTGTGTTTTGCTATAAGGGATGAAGAGCAATTCAAAGGAATGTAGCAGGTGATTCAATAGCAGAGTATTTATAATTCACGACCAGCCTTTGTGCTTCCCTCTTCACCAAATGTGATTCAATAATGAATCGGAGCTTACGTGTGGTATCAATTTGCAGTGTATATAAATGTGCCTCGCAGTGGTAGACAAAGGCGTTCTGATAATATTTATTCCTATTATGGAAAACGACAGCGCTGACAGCCAAACACAGAAACTGTGAAGAACTCAAATGAAAACGGGAACAAAGGTGACGAGGTGACGGAGGGTACACAAAGGAGACGGGGTGGATGCGAGGCGATAACAGGGAAGTCTTGAATAAACTTGAAGCAGTTGAACAAGAAAACAAAGAAACTGACGCAGAGCTGTTTTGACTCACACTTTTTTTTTAACACGCTTAAATTAAACATCATCGTTCCTCCCAAATCAGACGCAGCAGCAGAATAACACACAGAGCGGCTTGTGTTTACAAGTGTCTTAAGTTGACTGATGTAAGCTACACCTATCTGTCTATCCCTGGAGACGAACCAGATTTTAATAGAGCGTGACACTGAGATATTGTCAGACTAGAATAAAGCGGAGAGAGGTTTTTCCTGATTGCCCGAACCAGACTGTGGCTCTCAGCAGGCAGTGGACTGTTGATAATCCTTAATTAGAAAATAAATTCCAGTGGCAAGAAATTGTCCCATCCTCTCCACACCTGCACCGACTCAAAGCCGGCGGGGGAGGACTCAGCTGTTTTCTCTCACAAATCGCTCCATTTAGCTCTCTGTTGGCGAGTAGGACGAGCGTGAAATGGCAGCGTGCAGGGAAAAGTGGTGATAGTTGGGTTTTTCCCTCTTCTTGTTTGGCGTAGTGAGATCACATAGATTGACATGCAGCGATGTTCACCTCTTTCAGCCGTTGTGCTTGAACTCACTGTCAGTTTCTGCCTTGCCATGTCTCAAACTCACAGGACTTTATTTTCTTCCCTGATTTGATTCTGTTCTTTAATTTTGTCTTTTTTCTTTTTCCTCTGAGTGGTCATCCAGCACAATAAGCCACTCTTCAGTGTGTTTATTTTACCCAGTGCTGTGAGCTCCTTATTAGACCAATTTACAATGGATTTGCTCATCTTGACAGCTGAAAGAGAAATCCAGATTTGAGGCTTGATGATAAAAAGAAAATGATCTGGCTTGCGTGCATTTCTCCAGTCTAACTTCTTTACCCCCTGTCTTTTATCTCACATCTCTGCAGCATAAAAAACGTGACACCCAAAGTGGGTGCTGAGGAGACCCACGACGCCATTCGGCGAGCCTTCGACGTGTGGCAAAGCGTGACGCCACTGCGCTTTGAGGCTGTGCCCTACAGCGAGCTGGAGAGGAGCAAGAAAGACGTGGACATCACCATCATCTTTGCTTCAGGTTTCCACGGAGACAGCTCACCCTTCGATGGCGAGGGGGGCTTCCTGGCCCATGCCTACTTTCCAGGGCCGGGAATAGGAGGCGACACACACTTTGACTCAGATGAGCCTTGGACGCTGGGCAACCCCAACCACGATGGTAAGGATGGTAAATACACTGTTGACCTTCATGGTTTCATCAGCTTGTTGCAAAAATACAACAAAACCAGACATCAGTCATAAAACAGTGGCTTTTATTGAGTATTTACAACAAAATAGTCCCAGCAGCTCGACCAGAAGCCAAACTGCTGACCCTTACACATAAAAAGCTGCTGCTGCTAATTGGTTTTCTGCAGAGACATGACAGCCAATAAGGTTTAAAACGAGTTTAATTCACACACAAAATGTCCATAAAACACAAACTCATCACACTGTTAATTAGTCCTTGATTGTGCGTTCATTTGTAGTTAACGTTAAACAATGTGTAATGCTCAGAAGTTGCTATCGATTTTAGGTAACCTGCAATGACGTTAAACTCACATCCTTACTTTGGAGTATTCTGCCCTTTTTTTTCACTCGTTTTATTTCACCAAAAGTGGACAGAAATGATCGACACAGGATATCTTGATCCCTGAGGTGAGACCCGCGGCCTCGCATCCAAAACAGTAAAACAGGAAATTGTTTTCCAACCTGTCAATGTGGCTTTACAGATATAGTTACAGGTTTAATACTTTTTTCACATTTACTACATATTTACTGTGGTAATTGTAAAGGCAAAAGTGTATTTTGTGTTCAGTACGTCTGCTCTCACTGAGCCACGGCTCGTGATGCTGTTGGTTTTGCGGGGTCAGGTCACTACTCATTCCTTGCTCTGCTCTGCTGTGATTTACAACTGTGATTTGCTGAGGCTTGTTCCTTCATCTCTCTTTCTCAAAGCGAATACCCCCCTCGTTGAACAACAGTAATCATATCCCCTCTCACTCTGCACCGATCTCAAGCCCATGCCCTCGCTGAGTACCTGCCCTTGGAGCCTTGCAGCCCACCTTTAGCGGGGTCTGCATGCCATTGTGTTCTGCATGGTGCAGTCTGAGCAGCCGCGTTGCCGTCCAAGTCGTTGTGCTGTTTTTTGTGTATTAGTGGCAGCCAGTCCTAGGTGAAACTCTGAACTCTGTGCACCCTTAAGCGAGAGTCAATGAAGAGCGAGAGAGGGTGGAAAGAAAGGTCTGCAAAGATGATCCAATCACAATAAGATTTGTCCGAGTTTGCAAAAGATGGACGTACCTCTGCTTGAATCCCTCATTAAATTCTAGGAGCTGATCCGCCCTGCTGTCAGCGAGTCATGAGCCAAAAAACAATAGCAGTGGTAACCGAGTGCTGCACCAAGGATGAGGGACACAGATGAAAAAAAAAAATATATATACATAAAAACAGATGAGATTCCTAGCGGGAAGGCAGCGGAGATAACAGCAAGCAAAAGAGAGGATAACAGAGAGAAGCACAGTGTCATTAGACAAATATTGGAAGTTCAAGCGCTCATAAGAGAGACAGAAGGAGAGGGAAAGACTGAATGAGCAGCGTAGCGAGGAGTAAAGAAAACATTTGAAGAGGAAAGGCAAGAGAGGGAGATGAGTGGGAGCTGGTGAACACTACTCGTTGGAAATCGGAGTAAGTAACTTGCTGTTGAAGACAGAATTTTAAGCTGGAGCGGAGGTTCAGACAGAACAGAGTGAACAGCTTTTCTTTAAGGTTTGATTGATCAGCGTGACTCTCTATTTAGGATAACGATAACCTCTAGTAACCGTCGACAATGCTGGTCGTTCATTCTGCTCCACTCTTTGACATGATACATATGTATTAACAAGCACATGAGCACACGCGAAGGTAAAGACCCGCACGTTACCCACGCACTCACGCGCACGCTGACAAGCAGCTGTCACTGAAGGCCACGATTCACGCAGACACGTTCTGTTCCTCCCCTCAGTGCAGTATTAATACAGCCCTGCTGTGGCCCACACTCCTGTGAAAACATCCCATAATGCAGGCACTTCCATTACGCTCTCTCCAGCTTTTTTTTTTTTTTCAAATGGGAGTGTTTACTGGCTGAGCCCTGACTGCTCGCCGTGGCGGGGGCTGCTCTTATTCCTGTGTGATGGCTGGCGTTACATTTAGATGAGTTTTGAAGAAGCACACAGCTCAAAGCTTTTTTCTTTCTCATCCTGAAATGTAACAATTCCTATGCCAAAAACTATTGCAAATATCAGGCTCTGCATCGCTCTGCCAGATTGTTTTTCTCAACTTGGCACGGTCGCGAGGCTTTGAGCCATAGTGTAGCTTTTGGCAGACGAACACTTAAAAACTGTAAGATAATAGTACCGCAAGCAATAACGTTACAACTTCAGTACTAATAATTAAACATAGTCCTGTTTCATTGCACCGCGTACTGTTGCAGCCAGTGTAGCTGTGATCAGATTAATATATCATGACACAATCTCTGCAGTATTGCTTCAGTTAGTGGTGTTTTTATTTCATCTCGTAAACACATAAAGTCTGAACTCTTTTGTTCAGGCCATTTATTTGCTCAGCTTCCCAGAGAGATGAAAACAAAAAAAGAAAAAGTAAAAGAGAGCATGTACCGTATTTTAAGGCATTTACAGTTACTCCTGTGTTTTTGCATCCTTATACAGTAGATGGATGGTAATGAATTATAAAGTGTCACGTAAGTGCAAGGTCCTCGGTGTCAAATAAAGGCAAAGAAATGATAAAATGTGTTTGTGCTAACAGCTCAATGAGACTGAAAGCTCCTCAGATGCCAGAAAAACTGCACAGAGGTTCTAATGATGGAGACTAGAGAGACGAGGCTCTGTGGAGAGTTGTCATAATCTTGCTTTTACATGGATTTTATTGGCCAGTGCAGTACATTTCTGAGCTTTCTGCACTGGCACTGCTGCTGTGTCGATATTCCTGCTCAAACAATAGGCAGACAGGTGGTCTTACGCTGAAGTTATGCTTCCTAGATTATGACTAATGTGTAAAATGGAAACGATGTAATTTATTTACAAAGAAATATCTCCAGAAGCATTTTTTCATGTCATTCCTGTTGGCTGACTTACGATTTAAGAGCCAAAGATGCGAAACTCAGCTCGCTTTTGTTTATCTGGAATCGGCGGCAGTAAAATGACGCACGCAGATGTTCATTTTAATCTAGATGTTGTGGCAGCGGGGATGGATAATTCCATATATTTCCAGTGCATGCTATTTCAAGGATTTGTAATCCATCTCTGATTCATCCCACACTTTGTAAGAACAGCTGGGAATGATGTAATGTTTGCTCAGACCAGCACATGATTTTTAGCTTATCAGTTCCTTTTTCTTCTTTCAGTCTCCTCTCCCTCCTTCTTTGTTGTGTTTCAAAGTTACAATCCCACACAGACACACAGCAGAGATGAGCTGCTGTCTGGTAAGCTGTCATACCTAATCCTCCCCCTGCACTGTTGTCGAGAGAAAAGAAAAATATCAATCATCAGGGCGACTGTTGCCAGCGTCACACCGTCGATGTTATTGTTGTTGTTTTGGACGATGGTGTCACAGATGCACGCTGAAGGATTAATCCCTGTTTGCGCTGAGACAAACACTTGCATACATGTGTGTTTAAGTACTCACATGTACAGTTCCACTCACACTCCAGCACAGGTGTTAATGGAAAAGTTTTATTCAGTGTGATTTTTAGCACATGTTGGAGAGTGATTTATTCAAGACTAGACACTGATTGGGTGCTGTCTGACAACCACTGGTTGCTAGGAAAAATTGGTATTCGCTACCCAGTAGGCTCGGGTTTGCTGAAGGTCACTTTCTGTTGCTAGTGAGGTATGTGGTGCAACACCGAAAACCCCCTTGTGATTGCTTTGGTCTCAAGCACACTTGCCAACTTTTTGCTCAGTGGTAGAGAAACTGCAAAAAATGTGATGCAAACTGGAAACAGAGACCATTTTCTTTCAATGTAAAAGCTGTGCCTTTGAGGGATGTTGGTTAAATCATTAAGACACAACTTTGTGATGCAGTTGTTCACCTTTAATTTTCCCTACCGCTCCGTGGTTATAGCAAGGGTTAGAGTTATCAGTCATAGCATATACATTTTATGTGCCGACTTGTCACTAAGTCTTTGTAAATTATTTTGTGTTTGGACATTGGTTGTTGTTTTTGTGATCAAGAAATGTGTTCAAGTTTAGCTAGCGTTAGGCTACCATGACCAAGAGTTCTTACAATAATCTGATGATCAAATTTGGCTCAGTGTTATAAGTACTACACCATAAATGCTTTGGTATATGGTCTATATGGTAGAGTGCCATAACAACACTTCAGTGTAATCTTTGAGGGAGTCTTGATATACAGTAGCTAACATGCAGCTGTTATGTGTTTTTGATTTTGGTACATTTATCACAAAGGAGAGAAGGTGGCGACTCTAAATTAAAACACACTAGAAAAGCTGCAACCACGGCAGCGTGACAAAAGAAAAAAAGAAAACCGTGTTGTACCTGAAGATGTTTCTGCCAAAATTTAAATCTGTTTTTCAAGCTAAGAATTCTAAACATCTGCTGCCTCAAGCTTCCCTAATATCAGTTTTTGCGCTTTTTCCAAGTGTTATGTTTTTATATATTAATTGCCTTTTGGGGGTTTTCAGGTAAAACATTGAATTTGTAATTCTTTATGAAACTTTATCACACACTGTAAAGGCAAAGTAATTCATTAAGAAAGTGATTTATACATTAATGGATCCTGAATGTGAAAGTAAACAAACCAAGGCTCTGCCAGACCATCTGTGGAGACTCCACTTTCACCCACTTATTAGCTGTTTGCTCGCTAATAACATCATGTGGGGTTTTGAGAGTCGCGTTTAACAAGTAGATGCACTGTAAGTGGCCACTTAAACATTTGCAGGTCTAATTTTTACTTGGATGTAACCAAAATCAAAAATGAGAGATTTTCAGATTATGATGGCGTTTCAGTTCTCATTTTCAAGTCTAATGCATCTCTGAAAGAGTTGTTTGTCACATTTTAGAGGAGCCAAATGCTGCGTTCTGTAACCAACAGTGCAACGCTGGATTAAAAACAAAACGGTACTTTCAGAAATAAGCAGAGGTCTCCAAGCTTCCTTTTAGTGTG